GCTTCCCCCTCTTTGTTACATTTAAACTGATCTGTGAAAGCCAATAAATTTTAACAGATGTGAGTTGCTGTTCCATCGAGGGGTCTCTACCTGAAGGGTTCTTCTGCAGGTGGAGAGACAGGGCATTGTGAATAGCCTTTAAATGTGTAAACAGATACTGCTAAGAGAAAACATTTCTACTGACTGTGGATAGGGCTAAAAGTCTTAAGCTTACCTTGAGACACAAAATGTGATCAAGCCTCAATATGCGATGGTATTTTCTGAGGGTAAGAGGAGTTAATGGATTTCTGGCAAGGCTATATAATTTTCCTTGCTTGAGATCTGAAAAAGAATAAACAAAACAAATGCACACTTCACCTGCTAAAAAACCCCAAACCCAACTCCCCAAAAACCACACCAGCAATTCTTTAAGTGGAGATACCCAGTGTCTCAAGGCATGGTTATCAGTGACCTTTTGAGTTCCCATTCAGTACTGCACTCTACAATCCATTACATTTCCTAGGGTCTCTCCTAGGAAGCAGGTATGTTGTTTTTTTTTTTCTGGGCAGAGGAAATGAAAGCTGCCTGCTGGCTTTTGTCTTTTGCTGTTTCTAGCAGACAGCTGTGTGTGAACCTCTCCTGTTGGAAGGGCAGATACCAGGTGACAGAAGTGAGGTCTGGCACATGAAAATAAAAAAGAAGGGTCGAGGGAATGACTTCAGAGATCACTGCTTTCAAGTTCAACTTTCATTTGGGGTAGAGAAGCCAGTTAAACCAGTGGTGCACTGCCTGGAGGTTGGCTGTGTGGCACTGGCATCTGACTGAGGACAGAGACTGGAGAGACCCAGGCACCAGGCTCTGGAAAAGGGATGAAAGGTAGGGCTTGCTCTGCAGGGTGTCCCAATCCGTTCCTTGTACTGGTATCTGTACTCTTTTCTGTCTTTGTTTCAGTGTGCTGTGTCCAAATCCTCAAATTTCCTGTGTGGTTCTGGAAAGATGACTAGTAGGAGCTTTAAAATCCAGCTGGTTTTCAGGTTTTATTGGTCTGAGGAAGGTAGCCCTAAGGATACAGAGGGGACAAGTTTCTGGGACTCCCTGTTTCAGCTGGGCTGGTCTGATTTCCTATTGGTTTTTCTCAAAATGGAAGATGAAAATTGAAATTACAGATTGCCGGAAAATAATTCCAGTTTTGTTTTTTTTTTAACTTCAGAAAGAGTTTTATTCTGGTGAAAGCTGACGAATGATGCCGGGGCCAAACATTTGTGGATCCTTATGTTATCTGAGCATAATTCTTGACTGTTGAGAGCCTGTTGAGACTTGGATAGCATGTCTTCCTCTTTCTCTGGAACTGTTCTTAAGAAAACTGTAGGTGTGGTGCTTAGTGCCATGGTTCAGTGGTGGGCTTGGCAGTATTAGTTCCAAGGTTGGACTTGGTGATCTCAGAGGTCCTTTCCAACCTGAATAACTCTATGATTCCTTTTATTCCATGATTTTCTGTGCCTTCCACTGGTTAATATCCATATTCATTACTTCTGCTCCTAGTATCTCCTATTGCCAACTGTAATCCTGCATTAATCAATAATAATCACAGCTTCCTAGTTGCTGCCATCTGTTTTCTCGATAAAGGCTGTTTTTAAAACAATTCAACTTGTGGCACAGCCCTTCCAGGGCGTGGCGTGTGTGGAATCGGACTGGGGCTGGGAGCCAGCGGGCAGGATGGGGAGACGGCGCATCCCGGGAGGAAGGATGCTCTCGGGGAGCACCTCCTGCCGGCCCTGCCCACCCCCGGCAGCCGGGAGGGTTTGTCCCGCGGGTACCGGCGCTGCATCCCCCGGCGATGCTGGCGGTCCGGCCGGGCTGTCGGTGGCCATCTGCTGCCACCTCCCGTCCGAAGGGCGATGCCGTGCGGTGTCTGGGGGAGCAGATGGGAAAAACCACCTCCAGCCTCCTCCTTGAGGTTCTGGTAGCGCTGCCTGCGAGGGCGGCCGGGATCTCAGCCGTCCTGGGAGCCACTGCTGGCTGCTGACCTGTCTCACTGCATTTTTTCCTCTCTCCACCGTGCAATGGCCTCATTTCTTTCTGCAGTTTGGTCTTTCTGGGTATCTTGGCCACTCAGATCCCCCAGCCAAAGAATGACCAATACCAACAGCTTGGAGGCACCCGGCCAGCAGCAATACCAGGAGGTGAGCTGGCTGCTTCCCTCTGGCAGAGCAGCAGTGGGGAGGACTCCTCTCCCTTTTCCCCCTGGTTGCAGTTCACAGCAGCTCCCAGCTCCACTGGCCTTCCCAGTCAGCTCTGGGCTGCTTGGCTGGGCCTGGCCAGAGCAGGGTGTGCCACACTCCTGTGCCAAGCTGCTTGCTGGCAGCCAGGCTCTGGCCAGGCGGCTGTCCTGCTGCTGGCCAGCCCACAGTGACTCGCTAGCACTGGCCACCAGTAGTTGCTTTTTAATTTGGATCCCTGTGCCTATTCTGTTTTGAGGGGAGGGCAAGGACTATGCTTTGTCCCTGCTTGCTTTGACTGCTTCGGCTTATTCTCTAATAGCTATTACAGCTTCCCCGCTGCCTGCAGTGACTACAAATTTGAGCTGAATTAATCCCAGACAGAGGCTCAATCTGAGGCAAACTTTCCTTCCAAAATGTTCGGTCTGAAAAGACATGAAAGCAGGACGGGCTGGCCACCTACCTTCCCTGTGTGGGTCTCATCCCAGGCAAAGGTTTGTTCTCTCCCTTCTAGCAGGACTGAGAGGCTCTTGGTGCTGTGCTGGGCACTGACCAGGCTCACAGGGAAGGGAGAGTCTGTCTGCCAGACCTCAGTGAGCAGACAAACAGAAAGCAGCAGTGTGGCTGGCACTCACAGGTTTTGCTTGCCGCCCTGGAAGCAGCCCTTGCTTGCAGCAGAGGTGTTGCTGCTCCTTCCCCAGCTGGCCCAGGCTGCTGGCGCTGCTCAGACCCTCAGCCTGTCCTTGTGCAACCCTGTGCTGGCCAGGACTCATCCTGTTCAGTTATCCCTCTCCATGGCTCCTAGAAGCATCAAGATTTCAGCTTTGGTTTCTGCCTGTTTCCTTTCTCAAGGAGTCTTATTTCGTGGCATCCTGCCCTTTTGTGCTGAGGTTTGTTTTCCTGCTGCCTGGCTGAGGTCAGCATCTGTTCCCCCAGTCCCTGCCCAAGGGGGCTCTCTGATACCTGATAACACAGTTGCAGGCCACAGACCCTCTCTGATAACAGCAGGGTGTTAGATCCCAAGCAGCCGCTCCTAAATCAAACACATGGAAACAAATTGCTGCCTGCTTCATCTCTGGGTCCATGGATGCAGGTATTCCCCATGAAGAAAGAACCACAGGACCACCACAGGATCCCCTTTCCCATCAGGAGCCTCATGGTTGGTGTTCCTGGCAAGGGCTTTTCCTCTGAATTCGGATGCTGCTTTTTCCTTGGCCGGAGTCTGGCAAAGAGCTCCTTCCAACCCCACATCTGTGACAGGTAAAAATCCTCTGAGCTGTTTTCCTGTGGGATCTTTGGAGTCTTGGGGGTACCTTCTTTGGTTTTTTGGGCTTTTTTACCTTGGAGCTCTCAGTGCTGTCATATTTCAAAAGAGGCTGAAATGCCAGAGCAAAAGCCCAGAAAGCCCCTGCATCCCCCTGCCACAGTGCTGTGTGGAGCACGTTGCTGTGCCATGCAACAAGCCTTTTCTTTGGAATTCATAGATAATTGCTGGTCCTGTCAAGGGCCATTCATTTTAGTAGTGTAAAAATCACTATGGTTTTATTTCAAGCTTGAGAAACCACTTTGTCAGACTGGGCAAGTTGTACCAAACCAGTATGTGGGCTGTGGGCACAGCTGGAGTTAAACAGAAAGAGCCCAGTTCCACAAATACCAAAGGTTCTCTGACTTGGTTTGAAACAGGGAAACAAAGTAAACAAGGGAAGGAAGGGCTGAGGAAGTGTGGAGAAAGGAAGGGGAGAAAACTTCTTCCTTTCTGATGAAATTGTTTTCACCTCTTTATTCCAAAGAGAGGTTTTCTGACATATGGGGTTTTAAATGTTTGTTTGCTCTGCCTGCTTGGTTGTTTACTGCTCTGAGAGTCTGTGCTGCCTTTGCTGGCATGCTCAGTCTTTCAGGGAATACGACAGAGTGCAAGGCTGTTTACTTATTTCTACTAGCACTTACTCAGCAGTGAAGTTTTTCTGGTTCAGGTTTTGCCAGGGACTAGAAACTGTTGCAGGAACGTGGTGGTTGTGGGGACCTTAAGGGAGAACTACTGCCTCTTCTAGGCAGTATAACTTCCATTATATGCTTTGCTACCACTGGTGTATTTGGCTCATGGTAGAGGGGAAAAGTCTTTTATTCCTGAGTTTTTTCCACATGGAGAAACAAAGGACTGCAGAGAAGAGGAGGGAGAGGAAGGTGAGGGAGATGTTTTTTCAAAAGGCCATGCAGAGCATCTGTGGGAGAGCCAAAGTTAGACAGGAATTTTCTGGATCACTTACCACTGCTCTGTGAACATCCACCATATTTTAATGTGCCCTCTACCTGCCTCTCTTTTCAGACCTGGCCCAAGTGAAGGCAGGCTCTGTGCTGTCCCAGGGCTGGTTCCAGGGGTGCAGCACAGCTGTGTGCCACTGAACCTGTGGAGTTAATGGAAAGCCATCAGCTTTGGGCTAGCTCAACTGGAAATTTTCACTTGTAGGCAAGCTGACCACTGTTCTCGTAGAATTCTATAACTCTTACTAAGTTTCATATTCCTTTTGCGACATCTCCTTTTGTTTTTTGGGTTTCATATTCCTTTTGTCACATCATAGGGATGCAATAATTTCTCTAGGGCCGTGAGGTGAATGCAGCTTTTCCTTCATCCTCTAAACTGCAGTGTTAGGAAGGAGCATCTTTGCTGCTGAAGCCTACTGTAGTACACCTGCAGACTAAATAACAATCTCTGCACAGCTTCAGGCTGGTCCATTGACCCAACACAAAGAAGTCTGCTTTTCCTTCAGAATGACCGGCTGTTTTCTCTGGTTTTCTACACAGGAAGAAGGAGTGTTACTTCATTTTATTAAAACCAGAAAGAAGGCTGTTGGCCACTTTGCTCAACATTCTCATCAGTACTGCCCATGAGGCTCTCTGGATTGGGTCAGCAATATTCCTCTGACGCAAGATTTTTCCAGGTAGTAATCTGAGAGCTACTGATGCTGTCTGAGCAATGTTATCCTGCAATTAGTCTGAAAAAAATGTTCTTTTCATGTATTTCTGTTTTGTCATTTAAGGATCCTAAACCCCACATCTTCCACAACTGTCTTTCAAGGAGGCAAAGACTACTTGCTGTGTACTGGAATGTGTCCTTTATATTTGATATTAACTAATGGGGACGAAATTGCTCTTGGCTCTTGATATTACTGAGTGTTCCCTTTGGGGTCTGGATTCCTTCCCAGCAAGTGGTAGCAGCCACCAGCAAAGGTGAGTTTGACATTGCTGCAAACTGTCCCTAAAGCAACCCATGCAACCGTGCCAGCACTAACTCCTTTTGTTCAGATTATTTATTGAAGGTGAACTCCTTGAGCATACAAAGCACAGAGTGTTTTTGTGAGTACAGAAAAAGACCCCAGAGATGTGATGGAGGAAACATTCTCAGGCTTAAAACCATGTCATAGGCTGCAGGCTGCTACCTCCAACTGCTTTTGGCTCCTTGGTTCCAGGCAAGGGGCAGCTTCCCTAGTTCTGAAGGAGCCTGTCATTTCCAGTAACTGTGGGAAGAATTACTGTTGTTTATGATTTAGAAGGGTGGAAGAGAGAACTGGGATACTTGGCCCTCTGTGCCTTGCTATTCCTAAGAGTAAAGTGTGGGTGACAATATTTTACCTTCTGCAGAGGGACATTTGCAAGCTAATGGACAGAAAGTGCTCAGGAACTCCCCACCTGGGCAATTGGGACATGTTAGTGATCTGCCCAACAGTTTTTAGAAGTGTCTTACCTAGACAACAATGAGCAACAAAGGGCATAAATAGTTTGTCTCTAAAGTGCTGGCTGCTCCCTGCATGCTGTGTGTCTGTGGGCAGTGCTGCTCTGGTGCTGGGAGCCTTCTCCTCCCTCTGTTCCAGGCTGCACAGAAGCTGCCTGCAAATCTGCTGGCAGAACTGCTTTTTTAGCCAAATGAGAGGGTTCCTGTGTTTCAGCATCACCATTAACTCAGAGGAAGTTTGGCTAATGAGCCACGGTGCCTGCAGGCTCCTGAAGGCCAACATGCTGCTGCAAGCCCCAGAATGGGACCGTGCCTGCCACCTCCAGCCTCTTGCCTGAATGCTGGCATTTTTTATGGCATTGCCATAATGCTCTCTGCTGGCTCTAGGCGCTCAGAACTCACTCTCTGTCATATCTGTTTCTCTGGATATTTATGCTGTAAGACTGGGAGCAGAATGCAGCCCTGAAGGCTTTCAGCAGTGTTAACTTGCCCTCATTGCTAGTGTATGAGAAACCTGCCACACTGTCTCTTCTTTGATATCTTCCCTGGGTTTGTGCTGCTGAGAGGCTTCTCTGATCTCTTCCACTAAATGACACAACCTAGAGCAAACTTAGCAGAAAAGGGTCTCTGAGTTTCAAAACCAGAGTAGTCTTTGGGAAAGGAATAACTTAGATCTTTGATGGTCCAAAAGGCCTGACAACCGGGGCATGCAGGAGAAACCCAGTTGTTCAAATAGTGGAAACATTAAGAGAAAAGTCTTAGTGTCAATCTTAGGTTAATTGGAAAATATTCAAAGGACTTTGTTTTGCTTAATTTTGAGGTTAGAACTTCCCTGGGGTTCTATGAAAAGAATGCAATTCTGGCAGCTCCTTTGAAATATGTAGGAGTGAGCTGCAAAGCAAAGAAGTTGTTAGAGGGGATGTCACCTCCTCCTGGCTGGCTGGACAGCTGGAAAATGAAGATGAGAATGTTATGCAATTGCTCTTGCTTCAAGAGCAGTCTGTGGTGTGACATAAGTGGATAGGTATGAAGACATCATTTTGAAAGCAGATCAGCCTGATACCCAACATCAAAGATGAAGTTTCCTAGCTCCAAGCTCTCTCTGAATGCACACATGGCCCATGGGAAGCACCAGGCACATCAGGTGTGTTGCGACTCCATTGGTCTGTCACAAACACCACTGGCAGCATTGGTGGTAAGATGTGCATTGCTCTGCAGTAAAATAACAGGTTTTTGGATTAACTGTATGCCCTTGTTAAGGCCACCCCTTTATCTTTTGTTTTCCTTTTTTGCTTAAACATAAGGTGCTTCAGGGCAGGGAGTGTCTTAGCTTAGAGTTTTAGGGTATTCTGTGGAATGGGAACCTGCCCATGGTACTGGGGACTCTTGGCACTGCTGGTTGTAACCTGTGGGCATGGGAGGGTGGGGGGACTCACCTGGCAAGTCTGGAGCCTGCCGAGCCAGTTCAGCTCAGGGAGTCACACAGGGGAGCCTCTGGGGCTCCATGCAGAGAGGGGGGGCAAGAGAGCAACCACCTTATCTGTCCTTCTCCCTGTGCCTTGTGCCAGCTTAATTCCAGCTGGGCACTCTGCTATACCATCTGCAGAAGGGCAGCACAAGTAGATGGAGACTTACTGTTATACTGGCTAAGAAGTTAGAGAGCAGCTCTTTAGCCAGGGAGAAGTTGGAGGAGCCTATTCAGACAGGAGGCAGATTCACTTTCCTAATCTTCTTTTGAAGAAGATGAAATTCTCCAGGACTGTGAGGCTCTTCCCCACTGAATTGCCTCAGAAGCTTTTCAAGCCTTGGGGAGCCTGAAGACTGGTAACCATGTTCAGGGTGCACTGTTAAAACGCATACCCAGATTGAAGACATTGGTGGTGTAGTGATGGAAGGAGAGCCCCAAAATAGGAAACAGTGCCTGGGAAGTGAGCACACCACCAGCCTGATCAGGACCTCCAGCAGACCTCTTGGATGAGAGACTCCTATGGGATTCTTACAAAGAGCAGAAGTGTTTCTCAACCCTTTTGGCCTTTGTGCCAGTTCTGCTGATTGAAAAATCACTTCTATTGATTGAAGAACTCTTCCTTCTAGCAGTTTAATCACAGAATAAGGAAAGTGGGTGTCAGGCCTCTCTTGGGTTTTTGTTTCTTCCCTGTTTTGAAGCCTGGAATGGGATGTTCTAGTTTGATCAACTCTGTAAGTCACACCACCAAAACCTGCATGGTTCCTCTCCTGCCAGAAGTGGGGACTTCTGTTCTACCCCTGAAAATGTACCCGGTCCTGGGCTGCAAAAATTCAGGGAAATAATCTGTCACTTCACTTGTGTTGAGCCTTCCCACCCAACCCCAAGGTAATGATGCAGGTTTTGTTTTCCTCCTGAATTTGTCTGGCTTGTTCAGGCTCCAAACTCTCACTTTTTGGTCAGCATTTTACCCATGGCTTTAAATGCACTGTAGTAAAAACACTTACCCTTACTGAGGGAACCAGACCGTACTTTTAGGCTATCATGAAGCTGTTCATCAACCTTTTCTCTTTGCTCCTGGAGTGCTTAGAAGGCTCTGGGAGCAGTCATTATTAGTGTTGTGTAATGGTCACAGTGCACTCCAAGAGTCAACAATATGTTGTAAAAAGGCCAAAAGCCAACACCCGTGTGGACTGGCCCCTTCTGACCAATAAAAAAGTAACCTCTGGAGAATTTAACATCATACGGACTGCTGTTACCATTGCTTTCTCCTGTGTCATCATCAATCAGCTTTCAACTTAGGTTAAAATGCAATTGAAGACAGCATAAAATATAGAAGAGAAAATTCTGGAGGAAAAACCCCAACCTTAAACTTTATCTATAATTATAGACTGGGCATTGTATTAGACTGATTACAATTTTATGTTAATAGAGAGTAGTATCCCTTCTTTAGAAAGGTAACTAATTAAATGGAATCTAATGGAATAAATTGTCATGTTATAGCTAATAAAAGCATAGCTGGATTTTTTTTTAATGTATTTCAACTTCAAAGTGTGCAGGGTTTGAACTTCTAGCTGTGTTGTTACCTGTTTCTTTTGTTAATGCTGGTTAGACTGATTACAATTCTATGTTAATAAAGAGTAATATCCCTTCTTTAGAAAGGTAACTAATTCAATGGAATCTAATGGAATAAATTGTCATCTTATAGCTAATAAAAGCATAGTTGGATTTTTTTTTAATGTATTTCAACTTTGAAGTGTCCAGGGTTTGAACTTCTAGCTTTGTTGTTACCTGTTTCTTTTGTTAATGCTGAAGTAGATGAGCTGCTTGGGAAGTCTGGATGATCCAAGACAACACAGTGGTAAGGTGTTCCTACCCTATGATCCAGAGGGAATCAAAATCAATGTAAGCTGCAGTTTTAGCCAGAGCTTGGAGTGAAAACTTCCATTACATAAATGTCCATAACCAGTTTTTCAAAAGATGCAAAAGCAAGACATGAGTCAAAGCTAAGCACGATTTCTGTGCCTTGGAAATGAATGGCCTGCAGGGAGCCCTGCTAGGAACTGTTTACCATATGGAAGTTACTATGGCCTTATCTTTGTGTTCCTACACCTGTGGTCAGGAACCAGTCCAGCTGTTCTAGTGCAGCTGTGCTGAGCTGCTCTTTGCCTGAAACCTGGGTGAGTTCAACTTGTGTTCATCCCCGCGTGCTGAACGGGGCGGTGTGTGCTCCTCCCAGCCTCCATGCCTTCTTTGGTCCCTTGCTAAATGCAAGCTGAGGCCCCCTATGCCTTGGTTTATCTGGGTATGCACAAAAGCATAAATGACTATGAGACCTGAAAGGGTAGTGGGAAGATGAATGGTTAAACTAGTGTTCTGGTTTTCCTGGTTGTTTTCTCTTGTTTAAATGAAATCTGGATTTGTCTAGATTTGGATCTGAAGTTTAATATTAGAGTTGCCGAAAGTAGCATACAGGTTTGGATGATGCTCTGGACAAACTTCCAGAGGTCCAGGCATACTTAGAAGACTTATAAATTTGTATTTCTGTTGCCTGAGTCTTTACAAACTCTTGAATAACCTTCACCAGTGTATTCAACCTTTCTGAACTTGGAGAACAGCTCTAGTCTCCTACGAGCTGAGTGGTGCAGGTTGAGATTCAGCTAATATTTGTTGAAGAGTAGGAGTTCTTTAGAGGCATGAGAGGCTTAGCTAATATTTGCAGAACACTTTGAGGTCTTGGGATAGATACTGTTACCAAAGGGTGAAGTGGTATTCACATGTTCTGTCATGTCTGTGTTGTTTACAAATAGAATAGAATGATGTTTTGAAGGTCAGGGACCTTGAGAACAATAGTGGGTTTGAAGCACTCATTTATTTTTACCAAGTTCAGATGCCTGGCATACACTAGCATTTCATTTATATAAAGGATCTGATCAAACATTTTGGTTGTTTAGAGGAGTTGTTTTGCTTGTTTTCAGGCTGTTGAAATGTCAGATGGCGAAAACAAGAAAGAGCTCCAGATGGAGCAGCTGGAAGAGAAACACGATAGAGATAGCAATGGGAAAGCTTCAGAGTCACACTTGACTGGGAGTCCCGTGTTTGGGATTGGGAGTCCCCACCTGTGGCTTCCAAACCCACTCTGTGCAAGCCCTTGTGCAAAGCAGCATCCCATGAGGAAGTTCTTCATTATTATGGTAAGCAAAGCCAGTAACAGTTTGGTTTTTGGGGTTTTTTTCACTGTTCATTAGTCCATCCATGCTGGGAATTGTTTGGGAGCTGCAATCTCATCTGGAATACTCAGCTTTTATACAGCCAAGAAAATCATAAGCACTCTGCTTTAATGACCCCAAATTCGAATTGGAGTTTCATGACTTACATTAATAGGGTGAATAAATGCCCAGTAGTTTGATCTCATTCACTGGCATTCACGCTCTCATTTGCACCGGCAGATCAATCTCTCTCTTCCGAACTTCTAGTGAGCACACAGACTAAATCTGTGTTTGAGTAATGTTGGAAGATGGGTGATATAATAAATGCTGTAAAACCCTGGTTATAGATGGAGAAGTAAAAGCTGGTAAAAAAATCTGTCTAATCAGACAGCTCATTTAGCATAAAAAATTTGTCTAACTTCCTCTAGTCCACGGCCAGCTTTCTTGAAGACAAAGGGAGGCGTAATTTGTACTGGCAAAGCTAACCCTGATTTAAAATCAGAGTAAACATTTGGCACAAATTGCAGCTTTTGTTTGTTTACACTTGAAGCTGTGCTAGTCACTGAGGGCTGGAGTTACAGCAAATTCCTAACGTATGCTGCCATCTAATTTGTAATATTGGTGGTGGCTTATTCCCTAATGTTTTGGAAGCAGAGTACAGTACAGGAGACTGAAATTACCTTGCAGTTACCAACTGAAACAGCTTCTTTAATGGTGGTGATTGTAATATGGGAATGTACAAGGATGGCATTAAGATGTGCTTGGTCAATCACTATGTTTATTGTGTCAAACAATTATTTTAAGGACTCAATTCTAAGTGCTTTAAACTCTTTCTACCTTCACTGAGACAGAAGCTGCTGAGCACCTTGTGTGGCTGTGTCCTTAGTTTCTGTGCCAGGTCAAGGCATGGGCAGAGAGGCTTTCAGAAAGGAAAAGTGTTACATTGAAAGCCACTAATCTGTGACACAGTGTGAATGTGATCTTTAGTTCTGTCTTGGAGACTGCTCTTCCAAAACACCACCTCAGAAGAGCCATATTTATCAGCAGAGATATTCATATGTTATTATGGAATAAGAAATTATATAGACTTATTAGAAGGTTGATTGATATATAATAATGTGCCCTATATTTGGAACTGTTTTTTTAATAAATTATTCTAATCTTGGTAGATTTAATTAGTCATTTAGTAAATACATTTCACCTAATTAGTTAATTAACAAGACACCCTTAAGACACCTTTCTTATAAACAATTTTTGAAAAAAACAATAACACACAGTAAGAAAACACTACCTACAGGTTGTTTATTATAATAAACCATTATTGTTTATCTTTAACTCCCTAAAGCCTCTCGAGCCAATTCTAGGAAAACTTTTCTAGTTTTCTCACTCTCTAACCAAGCTATCACATCCACATCAATAAGCTGCTATCCATGACCTATTGTACCCATAAGACAGAGTGGGGGTGGAAAAAATTATCCCTGAATTTGACATTTCAGAACATGGGATGTATAGAGGCATGGAGGGATCAGTGCTGCCTAATTAACGTCTCTTTGTTGCTGTGCCATAGCCTGTACTGTGCTGTAAGCACACACTCTAACAGGCAAGTTCTCTGTGCCTAGGTTTGGATCTTACCAATTCAGGCTTGCCACATACTCTCAAAAACTAGTCTGGAGCTTTCAGCCACATAATACTCTGTCTATGTGAGTCAAACAACAGGAATGTATGAAATCAGACATATACGCACACTCATAACTGAGCTTTCATTGTAGAGGTTGGTATTCAGTTGGTTAAAACCCCAAGTGTAATGATTATGTGGGAAAGTCATTATTTACTGGCTTTGAATCCAACGGTGGGAGGCAGATCAGAGGTGCTTTGGTGAAAAGGTATAGACAGTAACTTGCAGAACTGAGTCCTACTTGCTGAGTAGAAAAAATATCTGACGTTGTTAATTATAGTCCTTTCTGTCTTGTTCCTTTGCTTTGCATTTCTCTGTGGAAGGCAACTTTATCTCCTCTGAGGAAGACATCAATACAGTCAAATTAGGGCTGTGCAGGAGGAATGTTAGGGAGGGTGGAATAATCTAAAATGCCCCTCATTCTTGTGTTTTGCTATTGACACAAAGAGACACTAATATTGAAGCATGTTGGATTTCTAGGTAGAGGAACACGTGAGCTCTGAGGCCTTCACACACCTTTTATATCTCAGGAGAGACAAACAGTAGCTCCAAGCTTTTTTCCCCTCTCCAGCTCTGCCTTCTGTGTCAGCTGTCAATAGTAATGCTTCATGAAGAATCAGCCAGATATTTTTTTTCTTTGTTTTTTTTTTCCTCATTTAACATTGCTCTAAATTAAATGTAGTTACAGGAAACCTACTGAAATGACACACATGCACTAAGGAATCCAAGTGGGGTAGAAACATCCAACAGATGCCTGTAATAACCTGTGAGGCTTTCTGCACTTCCACCACAGGTTCTCTCATAATAACTCAAGATCTTTGAGATGGCTTTGGTAATTTTTAATACTTTATTTTTGGTGACTGAAATATTGCTTGCTCAGATCTAATTGAACTTTCTCTGTCATAAATTCTATGACTGAATGTCAGTGAGGATGTCATGGCTGCCTTGTTGCCATCTACATGAAACATGTGGAGACCCAGATAATTTTTTTAAAAAATTGGTTTTATTTATTTTAGTCAGATAGAAGATAGGATAGCTGAGTAATTTTTTTGGCTGCTATGGAGCACAGGATGTGAAGGAAACTACTGTTAATGACTTTCTATGAAGGCACCACCTACACATTTATCATTGAACTGATGACCTGGAAATCAAGCTGAAGCAGTTATATTTTAGCCATGTTCTTTTATTGCCAGGTTTACTTTACTATTCTTTTGCAGCATTCCCTGACTTTAGCCAAGAGAGTTTGACCAAGCCATGGAAGGTCTGTGCTGTCAAGAGTACAGAGAAAACTACTCCAGCACCTGGGATTTGACTGAAAGGTCATGAAGGTTCTTGTGGCGTTGGGCTGTGGTGATGGTGTGGGTGATGTGTTGCTGGCAAGAAGCCTTGTCCAGGCTGGAAGAGGTGCAGCAGAGTGGTGCACATGAGCTTTGTGCACACAGGACAGGGGCCCAAACCCCTGGACTGTGCTGGCCTCAGTGCTGGCCTTGCTTCACGTGTAGCTAGTATTTGGCCTAGCTCATCTAGAGGCACGTGTATATTTAGAATGCAGACCTATTTCTAATTATAATCTTTCTGAAGTGATTGCTAGATAAGTCAATTATCTCACTCCTCTTAGAATGGTAACTATTAATTACTTGAGTTATAGGCACAGAGCAAAGATGATCAAAGCAGATGATGCAATGGGATACTGAGATCCACAGGGCGGCTTAACACTGATGATGTCTGTTCACTGTTTCTGAAATTCTTTGAAGATGGGTGATATGTAATGTTTCTAATTGATTATATTAGCAAGAGTGTTATCTGGAGGGTACTTGATGGGGATTCAGGATATCTCACCCTGTTTCTTTATAATTTATTGGCCAACTGAGTAAGTTAATTCTTCTTCCTGTGCCTTAGTTATCCCACTATTAAAAAGCAGTTAATCACCTATAAAACTGAGATAATTATACTGTCCTTTCTGAAAGGTGTTCAGACATTTATTGATTACAAATTCTGGATGCATTTTTGAAGCTATTACCATTTTCTTCATTTGGGTAATAACATTCAAGATCAGTGAATCTGATTTGTTCAGAGCAGGCAAGGGGAGATGGGAACTTCAATCATTATTGGTTTCACTTTAAAGTTCTCTGCTCTTTCTTTAAAGGAAACAATAAAAGTTGATGCCAGAGCTCTTCTTTTTGCTGCAACTTGGTGCTTCTCTGCAGTGCCTATTTCTAGTTAAGAGAATCCTAGCATTTGGCAAATGACAACTCTTCAGTCTAATAGGTGGCACAGCGCTCTTGTCTGGGAGTGTAAATGTTCTGAACTTAAGAATCTTTGCAGGTGGCACCCTCAATTTAGCAGTGACAAGAATAACATCTATTGCCATTCCTGACAATTCTAACTTCCCACAATGCCATTTGAAAATGTAGAAGTAGATAGTGGAGGATCACATTTGGGTGCTTTGGAAACCCATTGTGTACAAAATAGCTGAATATCAGCCTGAGGTGTCATCTGCCAAATGTCACCTATTGAGGGAAAGCCTTTTTAAATTGTTCTTCTTTCTTACATACTGCTTCCCTTCTTGATACTTTTTCAAAAACCTGTCATGTTCCTATTTGTCATCCTAAAGAGGCGATGAAAAGAAGTCCCCTGCCTAATCTCGAGTTAGTGAAGGTTAATTGTGGCTGGAAGAAAGGTGACCATTTATACCAGTAAGAGAATGGAGAGTTGCTGGTGGAGCCAACACCACTGATAGAGAACTGCTATTGAAATACTCACAGGTTTTTCAAGGTCCCTGGAGACTGTTGAAAGGAGGAGATACCTTAAGTCAGAATTACTTCAAGGTATCCATTTCCATCACAAAGTTTGGGCAGTGAGTGCTTCCCACTGTTCTCTAAGATTGGATCTGGCCTCGGGACCAACCCATTTTGCAGCTGATTTGCTGCTCAGGCCAAGTCCATAACCAAAACTCATTTTCTGCTTTTGTAGGAAGGGACACTTCACATAAAAAGCATCACCTGGTCTTGTTGGAGCAGGTAAAGGCAGACAAAGTACAAGAGACTGAGTAAATGGCTTTCCCACTTGGAGAGGCTGGTCTTGCTAAAACAGTATTAAAATCTTTCAGCCCAGCCTTACTACACGATCAGAGAGCTTTCTTTCCAGCTGTCATTGAAACACCTTGTTGCTAAATCCCAGGTTGAAGGTGCTAAGTCTGCCTTTTATGTGGTCCTTGCTGCAAGAGGCCAAAACTGATGCTGCATTTCCAAGTGCTGGGTGATGTTCACACAAGCCCTGAGCCTTAGTCAGTCCCTTCTCCAAAGAATCTGTGACTGGAACAATCAGACAAAGTGGGGATTAAGAAGATCTTTCACAAAGGCAGTTTTTAGCTGGTATGGGAACAGAGCTGCTCTCAAAAATATTACTATTATCCAGTTGATGTGGACAGCACAGGGAATATATCCAAATTTCTTCAACAACCAATTTGGCCATTTGGCAACAGAAAGATATACTGTCAATAGGCTTCTTCTACTTCTTTTGGGAACACAGTATCCTCTGTTCAGTCATCTCTTCAAATATCAGCTCCCCAGGATCTATAAAGTTGTACCAGATACAGTCTGAGATGCAGGGAGTTTCTGGCAGAAAATAGGAATCCACACCTATGGAGTCCTCCAAGACAAGGACTAGTTTTCTGCTCTTGTGCTTGGAATTTGTTCCCCAACATGGAGTTTTGCCTCCTGCTTTCATTTCTTGCCCTTCTTTGCTGCCAGCTCCCCTCCATTCTTCCTGGACTGGAGGTAATAGCTCCTTTTAGCAGCAATACTCGTGTCAGCACTCGTCTGTCCTTGCAATTGTGTATTTATAGGTATTTGGGCTATTTGAAAATGAAAGCACCTAGCACAGGAGGATGGCACAGGGCAGATGCAATGGGACCTGCTCTTCCTTATGTGAAGTTGCTAAGGATGTCAGGCTCACTTCTCTGACCGTTTTCCCATTGGGACAGGCTGCTGCCACCTTCCAGGCTGGTCCTGCACTTTGGCACTTCTTCACAACATCCAACAGAGTGGGTTTCAAGCCAGTTCAGCCGAAGGTGTGATTTGTGTAAGGTTTGGGAAAGGTACTCTTATAGAAGGGTAAATGTTGTTCATTAGATGTGGATGCCTTAATTTCTGCCCATAGGCAGAAATTTTTGTGCCTATGAAATACAGGTAGTGCGCATGCAACTTCCACTGAGACATTTTGGGACCCAGAAATTTTTGACATTTTCTGTGTTGGCAAATAGTGGGGAATCAGGATACATTAAAATACATGCTTGTAGCCCACAAGTTCACTGACAAATTAATTTAGAGACCTCAAAATATTCCCTCCTTCCCCAAAAATTGAAACTTGAAATATTAATTTCTTCTTTAGAGTATGAACCCTGTGATCAGCCAGCTCAGTGTCCAAGAGTATCTTCACTAAAAGACAATACCCAAATAATAATTTAGCAATAAAATCAAACTAGTCTGACATTGCAATTTCTAAATATCTTTGGAAAATAACTTTCAGAACTACAGTTGTGTAACTATGATTCTCTGGGAATGTTCATCTGGAAAGGACCAAAGTGCTCGCCAGGTCTTGCATAGAGCCTAGCATTCAGATTGTGTATTCACAGTTTGGACAAGTGCTACTATTTGGGAGCAAAATTTCACTAAAGCCCTTGAAATAATTAAAAAACTGAATATACTTTACATTTGAAAATGTTAAGGCTATTAGTTAAGACTTCTAAGTAACATTGACACTATCACAACTGTTAATATCGAGTCCATTTAGTTGTTGCCTTGGAACTCTTTACAATACAAGCCAGCTTAGTTAATGAGTGCAGTTCTGTGTTATTAGTTACCCAAAATCAGCTGGAAAAGCTGCTGGCTTTTATTTCTGAAATGGAACTGAATATGCTCAATCTCCAGTGATGGAAATGAAGAATCATTCTGTCAATTCCCTTTCTGCCAGCTGATGCTAGGGTCAGAGAAGTAGGTCACACCTTTCTGGTTTTGAGATGGAGAAATACTTATTTTAGACCAATTTGCTCTGAGCACGGAGCTCATCTGCTGGGTTGAACCAGGGCATTGTTGCTTTCTCTAGTGCATTGTTCTGTTCTCCCACTAATTATCTCCAAATGTTTCTTATGCCTGGAACACAGTAGTAGTGATGAATAATGGGCTCTCTTCTCTTAACCCTTCGACCTGTAATTTGGCTTTCCACTCCCACCTAGATGCTTTCACTTTCCTGCCTCCACCAGCGCTGTGTTAGTCTGACACCTGCCTGTATCAGATTTGCTGCCCCATAACCTCCTCTCTTCTGTTCTGCAAATTGAGTAGGAGAGTGCAGGAGTGTGGTCTTGGTTCCAGCATTTACTGTCAGGATCATGGTGTTTGCTTTATGTGTGTCAGTGTGGATAAAGGGACATCTCAAATGCCTGTGGCCCCTGTGTTCCCCCTGTGGGAAGGGGAACAGCCACAGTCACTCCAGACCTTCTGCTTTGGAGATGACCTCCCAGAAAAGCTGTTCAAACTGTTGATTTGTAGGACTTGTTGCAAGATCATTCTAAGAGATGGGGTTTGATTGCTGATCACTTTGGGTAAACAGTGGTGCCCCTCAGATGGGGTTTCCTTATGAAGGGTAGGCTGCAGATATTTGACAGATCATATGTGAGAACTGAAGCCTGAAGAAAGCGGGGGGTGACATCTGTGGGTTCCTGCAGGTGACTGAGGTTAGTGGGAAGAAGGAGAGGGAAGACTTGCTGCAGATGAGTCATGGAGGCAGTGCTTGGAGGAAATTGGACTAGGGCATATCCCATCCTACAAAATAGTACAATGTCCAAACACATTCTCATTACAATTCTTTACACCTCAAATCCTTTGGCTTCAATTTGGTGGTTGTTTTCTTTCCAATTTAGAAAACTGAGCCATCAACCCAGCATGTGGAGCTATTGAAGGCAGGTGTAGTCCCCTTGGGAGGGGACATTTGGGGGCCTGGCAGGTGTAGTCCCCTGGGCCAGCACTCCCATTTCAGGGCAGAGGGCAATTGTGCCCTGGCTTGTGCAGTGTGCCATGTCTGTGCTGTCTCCCAGAGTGCTCCCTCAGATCACTGGCACCACCTTCCAGCCTTGACAAAACACTCAGAAGCATCTGCAAGCCTTTCCTCCACAGAAGAGCATGAACACTGAGTGCTGTGAGCTTCTGCTCTCTGCCTGCCTCCTGCACCTTCCCATGCTATTTCCACAGAGAAATGCCTCAGAGTAATTGCAAAGGCCAATGCACTGTCATCACATTTGGCTGGTTTCATAACTGTCCAGTCTCATAAAGCACTGGCATTTGGTTAGGCTGGAAGCAGATCACAGTTGGAATAGCACTGCTCCATGTCTCTGGTGAGAGAGGCTGAGCTTTTGTTTATGTTGGTGTTGTCTGCCCTGCAGCTCACAAGGGCTGGGCTGAGACTGGTGATGCTTCAATGCTATGATGCTTTTGGAAGTCTCTCTGAAGGTTTCAAATGTTGAAATTGGCCCGTACCTCTTCTCCATTGCTCTCACGTATCATTTATTGTCCAAGTCTCTTCCCAGCTGGTACCACAGCCCAGGAGGCAGTACTCAGCCTGGGTACAGAATGGCCTGTCTGCTAATCCTGGAGAGCAGCTTGGTGTAGAGAAGAGCTTTAGGCTCAAGGCTTTTTCTTTGTAGAGACAGGTAATGACTGGACAAGAGAAGCTGGCCTCTTAGCTGAAGGCCATGTGACAGTCCTTGGAACTGCTGTCACTGTTGTGTCTACACAGCTTATGAAGTGAGTTTGCCAAGGTGGGAGTCAGTCCCTACAGCTGAAAGACAATTCTTTGTGACAAGAACCTTGATATTTGTGGACTGTAATTACACAAAGAGACTATGCTGCTAATCTAATCTTCACCTTCTGCCTCATTCAGATGAGACCTGTACCTGTAATGTCTGCATCAAGGCTAATAATTCACTGTTAAGCTACAGCACATGTTTTAGGATGACAGCAAATCTTGTTTTAAGAGCTCTAAGGGTGGAGAATGAAACTCACCCCTACATCATTTGTTCAAGTTATTAACCACTGGCATTATTGCAAGTTTTAATTTTTAAATACTCGTATTATTTCCAGTTTGATTTTTTCCAGCTTTTACTTTGAGCTTCTGGATCTGGTTATAGTTTTGTTTATTAGATTTTTTGAAGTCCTTCAACATCTCTCACAGTCCCCTGCTGAGATATGTTAATAGAGTTAGATCAAATCACCTCCAAACCTTCCCTTTGGTAAACCAAATAGGGAGGTGGAAAGGCTTCAGCAGCCTGGTCTTTCTCCCTCACTGTAACATCTGGAGCTGAATGATGTGTGAGGTTGGATCAATCATCTGTTCACAGCGGCATCTGACCACCTATTTGATGATGCTTAAATGCATCCCGCGGAAAGTACTTCTTTTACTTGTGGCTGTTTTCTAGACCGAAACCATCTGTGGATATTTTCCACTGCCTAACCCGAGCAGCCAAAGCGCGGAGCGGAGGGCAGGCGGTACCTGCCGGGGAGGAGCGGCACCGCCGGCACCGGGCAGCCGCGGCTCCTGCCCCGGCAAACACAACTTGACCATTTCTTGCCGGTTTATCGCAATCGATTTATGGCTTCCAGTTTTCTGTCGCTTATTTGCTATTGCCCTCTAGTGGAAATAGGATGGCCGGTGGCTTGGCTTCCCAAGCGCTGTTTTCTCCCATGTCTTGTTGCTCTGGGGTTCTCTTCTTCGTTGTATGATGTTGCAATATTGTTTACATGGATTTTAACATATAGCTTTGCTATTCAGTTTTATTCTACGCAGGAAACAAGTATCTGGTCTCTACAATTGATAACTAATGTGGTGCTGTGTCTGGGAGTAGAACAGACTTGCCCTTTACAAGGGAAATTACAGGAGATGTTCTCGTTTCAGGCTTAGAATAATTCAGTCGTGAGAGTCAGAATTCTGAAGTGAACTTTGTGTATGCTGCCAGCACCCACCAGCCTGGTACAAGGAGTGAGCTTCTCTGGAGGCAAAAATACTGCCTTTTTACTATTTGTATTTCTATCTGAAGTCTTTGTTTTTATTAAAAAGAGTGAACTATTTAAAGCACACTCTTTCCAATCAATCATTTCACTTTGTCAGACAAGCCAAATCATTTATTGAAGGATTTTGGCTAATCAAAGTCTGTCTACTTATAGGGATCCTAGAAGATGGTTTATTAATGAGACCTAGATTTTTTTTTCCCTGGTTGTAATGCAGGGAGATCTTAATAAGCAATGAATTGCTGTGTCTGCAATCACTTTTGAGAGGCTTAAAAGGAAAACAATAATACTATGACTAATATGATTGCTCTCCCTACACTGCCATCCGGCGGATGCAAAATTAATTTCCTTTTGCAAATGTGAAGGGAAATTCTCCTACTGATATCACAGCTTGCAAACTTGGACAACGCTGATTCTCACTTGTAACACAATTTCCAGACCAGTGAGGAAAATGTTGGTTATTCTTTAATTTTAGTTGTTTTATATTAAAAAAGGAGATTTCCAGTCTCTCATCTACAAAAAATCTCTATCTTGTAATGGAAACCTGTCTGGATCTTGAAAAAGGGCTCTGAAAGCTTCCCAGGTTCTCTGCTTTCAGTATCTGGCATGGAGAGCCCATGTTTTGGTTTCCTGGTTTTGGAAAGAAGGTTGAGCTCTGATGTTGATTTTCAGATAATCAGTGTGTGGGCTATTAACAACAGAGCCTAGGGTCAGATGCAGCACTGCATTTTTGGTTTGGGGTGAAGAGCTTTTGGGACAAGGATTAACTCTTTACTTCTTCCCTCTAGGATTGAAAACCGAAATAAATAAAAGGAATTTGTGCTGCCTACAGCCTCGTACCTGCTGGTCTGCAAGTGGGACCTCACAATGAGATTCTTCTCAGTGCAGCAAAACTCACTGACCACCACTGGCTGTGTTGGACACCTCTCCAGATTCCTCTGGAACAGTAAAGTGAGTACTGGGAATGGATGGAGGCAATGTGAAAAACTGAGTCCTTCAGCTGAGCACACAGCTGTTAGGGCTCTGTCATTGCCTGCATCTCTCTCTGTTTCTGGATCCTACATAAATCAATGCAGCAGCTGCAGCAGTAAGATTCCCTGTGCTTCTCTGCAGGAGGGTTGTGGAAGTGGAGCAGAACAGGACCAGCTCTGGCATTTTATCTGCTGCAGGTGAGCCAGGAAATCACCAGGAAGTGGCATCCACCCCCTGGAGACACCACAGCTCATGCTAGTCATGGTACCAGTCCTTACATGGGACCCTTGGGCTTTCTTCAGAGCCCATCAGCTCTCCAAAGGGATTCTGCAGTGTGGGGATTTGGGGCCAGGAAGGTCCCAGTCTGGAGGTGGGAAGTCCTGCTGCCTCACAGTGCTTCCAGTGTGTTCCAGCCCTGAGTCATTCCCTCGCCTGTTTGCTTTTGGTGTTTGTTTATTTACCACCGAGGTGTCGGCCCAGAGCAGGCTGACTCTGCCGAGCTCCTTCGGTGGCCTGGTGGCTGCTGCCAGCTCTGCCAAAGTCCTGCAGTGCTGGGAGTGTTTCACCCAGGGGCAAGGGGGAGACAATCGTGTTCCTGTGAGAGCAATGCCACCACCAGCTCAAATCAGAAGCGTGCTTGGCTCTAGGTAAGGAGTGCAGCAGCACAGGGTAAACTACCTGCACCCTCACCAAAGAGCCCCCAGCTCCCAGATCTGCTCCCTCAACTGCCTGGGGGGGTAGGAAGAGGTCGAGAGGCATATCCTTTGCTGTAATTATATCCTGTTGCTAGAGATATTGTGCTCTGCCTAAAGAAATCATCATAATGCAGCCTCCCAGAGAAGGTAATTACTGTGCATCTTATGAATGGCTGCATGTGAATGTCTGCTCAAGCTGCTGTCAGCAGCAAGTTTCAACACATCTTACATACCAGGCATTTTACAGCCTTAGTTTTATTTGTTTTCATCACCCCTTGCCTTGTGCTTTAGTTTTCATTAATGGATCTGGGGTTTTTTTTGTTTGTATTGGTTTTCTTTTTCTCCCTTTTTTTTTTTTTAAAGAGGCCAGAGTTCATGTCTTTGATGGAGCATTTGGGTGGTGGCCACAGCTCTTGTTTGCTGCATTTCTATTGCTCTGTGGTGGCTTGAGGGGGACCATCTGGAAGATGTTGTTTCTAAGCTATTCCCATATGGTAGGATCTGAGTGGGCCCTGGTTTCCTACTCTGATCACAGATAAAATGGACTATATCACTGTTGATACAACCTGGGGTCAATCTACCTCTAGCACAACTGCACAGATTTAAGCCCACAGGACAACCTATTTTTCCTGTTGTACTTTCTTAGCTTCTCTGTCTCATGTTGAAAAAGGGTTGGTGAGGGATGCCAGACCCCTGAGCTTTCCAAAACCAGTCAGCTGCCTGCCTTGGTTGGCAACCAGTGCATGTGTCACTGTGTGGTGGCTAAAGTTGTGGAGGGCCACAGCCTGATTGTTCTGTGCATGCAGATTGCCATGTCTTCAGATCCTCATCCTTTGGCTTTGCAGGGACCTTTCAGCCAAAGAGATGGGGCAATACCAAAGAGCCCTGGTTTGTCTCAGTAGGAGTGACCCAGCAACTTTTTCTTTCTCAAAGGTCACTCATGCTTGCCTTTCCCCAGCACTCTGTAATTTGCCTTCTTGTTGTGTGTGTAGGGCCACAGTGTGTGACCATGACATCCTGCATTGCTGTACAACATCCTGTCCATCTCATGGACAGCTCAAGGGAGGATTTGAAACCACTCCTTAAATTTCCTCTTTGTGAAAATGGCTGTGAAATGCTTACTCTTGCAATGCTGAAGCTGAATAATCTTAGTACCCTTGCTGATTTGTTGTGTTTATGGCCAGTCTTCTGTGCATGCTGAGCATCTGCTATGTTGCATCCTGCGGTGGTTTAATCCTGGTGCTGTGTCCATCCCCCTCTGTGATCCTTGGTGAAGCCTCAAAGGCAGCTTGGCTGCTGGAGGATGGAAGGTGCTATAATAAATGTGAGCTCATAACGTTGTTGTTAAAAATAACTGGAGCTAAATTATAAAGAAAAAATCAATCTTATTCAGTCCTAGCCCAAGGGGAAAATGGACATGAGGGATTGGGCAATCCTTCTGTAAGTTCTTTCTTTAGACTATATTTAAACCACATCGAGAGCCAGATTCTCAGCTGGTGTCAATTGTTATTGACTTCAGTGGAGTGAAGCTGGTTTACACAAGTTGAGGCTGCTAAATGCCAGTATTTGGATGAAGCTGAGGCAGCTGGAATTACTTTTGCAGAAAACTCTAGTCTGATGCTGGTTCAAAAGCTCTGATCCCTCCTGAGTGCTTGAGCCATCGGTGCTCTCTTTTAGCAGTTCTTTTGGGATGTGAATGGTTGTGAAAATACCTTTACTTGGTATTTTCACAACCATTAAAATTTGCTCTAATCTCAGCTAGGTTCTGCAACTCTAATGTCTGTCATTATTCTGTAGTCACTGCTTTAGATGGGCTCCTCTGAAAATCTCTGCAAAAACCTTTTTTATTTGCTACTTTGCTGGCATCATCTCCTGTCTAGACACTCTAATTATGAGAACCAGGGAGCATACAGTGTGATGTGCAGATAAACCTGGATAACTCCAAGGTAACAGAGTGCTGCTTCCATCCCTCCCTGACTGCCCTCCAAACCAGTTTTGCCTATTTGTTGTCTGCTCCAGTATGAACATTAGCAAAGTGGGGACTGTACAGTGCCACCTGAGCAATATTCATTTGAATTTTGCATTCAGAAGCAAATGTTTTAAGCCATAGAAATAGAGAGGCAAACCTCAAATTGCAGTGGGATCTAGCAACAGTGGGTTAGCCTTCCCTACTTCTGTTTTTCAGTATGCCTAAAAACTCTCTGGATTAAGTAAACAACCTCCCCCACCACCACTGTCAGCAGAATGCATTAAATCTGTAAGCTGATTTGAGTAATTTTTGTGTATTCATATCCACTCTAATTCCCTTCTCATCCATGGGCTTGTTTTTTATTTATGCCAGCACAGACTCTATCCAAACTCATCCTCTCTCTATTTCAGCAATTTTTTAAAGAGTGTTTAAAGCTACTGATTTAAAAGGAGACCATCAAATGATCAATACAATATAGAATATTGGAGTGCATTTTGTTGTTTCAGCTGCTGTCCACAGTATGTCACCTCTGGAAGTGTGTAATGAGAAGAAAAAAACACTTTTTTCTACTGCCCTTCTTTAATATGTCATCTTTCCTGATTCCTTGCTGTAATGGATAAAAATTTTCTGTAATACTTAGCAAGGCCCCTGGGATTCAGACTCTCAAGTCTCTGTGCTTGGAGTGCCACATGGGTTTCTATGGGTCTCTGCAGGAGCTGGGGCATGTGAGAATAATCTGTTTGCTGCATTTTGACTCCAAATCAATGTGCTTTGAAGCGATTATAGGGAGGGATTTTCATTTGCTTTTTGTTTTCTTGGTCACAGCTTTTGAAAATCACTGTGCTGGTCCGTGGGAGAAGTGCCACCATGCAGCTCCTTTGCTCCAAGGGAGGCATATTTGCACTCCTGGCAGTGACATGGCTGAGTAAATGCTCTGGGACACGCATTTAGGGTCCAGCCCTTTAAAGTCTGGATCAAAACACATCCTTTTATGAGTCCTGGTAATGGAAACATACCATGAACATGAATGACTTGAAAATAATTTATCATAGTGCAGGTTAATGGGTGACTTGGATGAATCTCCTAGCTTTGGATTCTGACAGGAACTGTTGAGTTTGAGCTGCACAGTGCTGCCTCTTGGGGAAAATTGCACAGGTTTAATTAGAATCTGTTTCCCAAGTGGTGGAAAAGTCTATCTGGATGCTCTTCTTTTGGAGTAAGCTTGGGGTCTCATCTGAATTCGCCTAGGACACATCAGAGTGTGTCTCTATAAGGAGCTGACTTTGGTGGCAGATGTATTGAAAGAGTGAATCTCCAATCCTGAGCCCCAAAAGTCAAGCTCCAGGTAAGGTTTCTAGACCAGTCTATGTGGGGGTGTCCTCAGCCTGCATTTAGCCAAATCTGAGACTGCAGATGGAGCTGTGGCTCTAGGACTTTTCCCAAAGGAGACTTGGGAAAAATCAGAGTCAAGGCCAAGCCAGCTCCAGTCCTGTATGGAAGTGGGAGCTCATCTTTCCTCTCCCCAGCCTTTTCTACTCTCAGGCTAGTGATTTGTTTGGGGTTGTTGGACACTTGTTAATATCCCAGAATTTGGTGCATGCGCGTGAACCCAAGGAAAAAGAAATCTCCATGTGAGGCAAACATACTTCCTTCCCTTCTTTTTTCTCCCCCCAATCACTGTATCACCATGTTGATGTGAATGGGTGCATTGTACTGCCATGGCTTCCTGCACCAGATGCAACTTTCAACCAGCCCATAACCCTCTCTCTCATGCACTAGGGTGACACAGCCACATCATCCCTTCTCCCTCTGTTGATTTTTGGCATGGATCTTCTTTGTTACCTTTTCCATTGCACTGCTACTAAACATGTAGTGATAGCAGGAAGATGGTTGGCATTATTCTGTATGAGACCTGTAGGAAGAGTAGGTTTGTACTCCTACACTGGTTTGAAGGTAAGGGTGCCAGGCTGGGTATGCACTCAAGGTCCCACTAGGGTTATTTTACTCCTTGCCTTGCTGGGGGACGTTTCCACAGAACGTACTATGGCAGGCTTTGAACCAATTTGTAGTTCCTTTGTTTATGATGAAATTAGTTCACTTGTTTTATGTAAACTCTCCCTGAGATTTGTTTACTTTGGCACAGGGATCCATGTGCTTTCAGAGATGCAAGGAATTTAGCTACTGGGAGCTTGTTTAGTTTAGTTTGTTGCATTTGCAAAACAGATGGTGGAGGGGAAAATGTATGTGTGGGGAGGCTTTAGAACAGGATTTGGTTAATGTTTGCTGCCTCTGTAGTTTTCTTTGTTGTTTTCTGGCTGAAACAGGATGGGTTTCCATCACAGGGAGAAGAAAGACAAGACATAAGAACTGATATGCATTTTGCACACAGGGAGAAATAAATATAATTTAGACTTGAGCTGTCATTTTTTGGGCATCTTTGCCAAGGTGGAACTCCCAGTTTCTAGGGCTGGTACAGAAGCACCATGGGGGCCTTGTACATTGACTTGTCTTTTCCCTGTGGAGCCCCATGGGC